GATCATACTCATAAGTGAAATAAATCAAACCCACATATGTAAACATTGTATTATCTCCCTGGTTTGAGAAATTGAAAGAGTAAAGAAGGTATGAAATGTTCAACAGATATTAAGAAATGGAAAGAAATTATTTCAAAGGAAAAAAGAATAAGTATGAGGAAAAGAGAAAAGGAAGGAAGAGGAAAAATGCAAATTAGTTATATTGTTAGGGCCACTTAATTCACTGAAAATCAAGTTTGTGCTAATATAAATTGGAGAATTTGTATATCTGTATGCTGTCTTATGAGCAACTACTTTGAAGATGGCAGTATGCAATGTGTTTACTATTGCTGTTCTCCTATTTTGTTATGAAATTCTGTTTATCTTTTTTCCATTAAATACATAAAAGAATATAAAAGAGAAAGAGAAATTGGGTTGAGAGAAAGGAGAAAAGAAGGAAGAGAAAAGCATATATATATATATATATATATATATATATATATATGTTAAGATAGTTATACTACTAATCTCTGAGATCATTAAAAAGAAAGGTTTGTGCTAATATTGTTTGGACAATAAATGCCTTTTTCTTGTACTCTGAGTTACTAATTTAAAGATAACAATACATAACATGTTAACCATTGTTATTTTCCTATTATCTTGTTTTGACATTTTGGTTTCTTTTTTCTCTTTAAATAAAAATTTTAAGAAACAGGAATCCATCTGCTACTGTGGTGTGATGCTTTTAGTCTTTTTTGGGAAGACCAAGAAAGGGAATATCTGAGTGGGCTGGAAGCTCTAGCTTTAGTTTTTTGAGGACTCTCCACATTGGTGTCCACGGTGGTGGCACCACTCCACACTCCCACCAACAGAGGAGAAGGGATCCTTTTCCCCCTCAATCCCACCAGGATTTGTTATTGGTTGATTTCTTGATAATTTACATTCTTTCTGGAGTGAGACAGAATCTCAGCACTGTTTCAATTTAATTTGCCTCTCTCTCTCTCTCTCTCTTTTTTTTTTTTTTTTTTTTTTTTGTGGAACCAGGGATTGAACTCAGGCCCTTGCACTTAGCAGGCAAGCGCATATTCTACTGCGCTATCTCCCCAGCCCTTGCCTCTCTTGAAAGACCAGTGATGTTGAACATTTTTTCACATATTGTCATTTTTATGTCTTTGTCTGAGAAATGTCTATTCATTTCAGATGCCATGTTTGGATTGAATCTTTGCATTTGGTAGTATGAGTTTTTTAGGCTTCTTCCTATGTTCTAGATGTTAATACTCTGAAAGCAAGTGACAATTTTTTTCCCATTCTGTGGGTTGTATCTTCACTCTGTTGATTACTTCTTTTTCTGTGAAAAAGCTTTTTATAAGCTGAATTTCACTGTGTTGGTTTTTTTGTGATATTTTCTGTGTGAACAGGATTTTATTCATACAGTCTTTGCCTACACCTGTGTCTTCAAGAGTTCTGCCTATTCTGTCTTCCAGCAGATTTAGTGTTTCTGTTTTAATATTTAGATCCATTACAATTTTAGTTTAGTACATGGTGAAAAATAGAAGATCTAGTTGTAATCTTTGGCATGTGCAAAATCAGTTTTTCCAGCATCACTTATTAAAGAAGCTGTCTTTCTTCCAGTGAAGATGTTTGGCCCCTTTGTTGAACATAAAGTGGCTGAGTGCGTTTGGAGTCATTACTGCAACTTCTAATCTATTTCATTTGTCCCTGCATCTGTTTGGTGATTTGTTTTGTTTTGGCAATACCATGCTATTTTTTTATCACCATACTTCTTTGTAAATGGTGACTGTTGGTCCCCAGCCATCCCAGACATTGGTGGCTCCAAGGTGGGGCTTGGGTCTTCTATGCTTTCTTGCTTATGTCACTTAGCTGAATCTCTTCTGCCCATCTCTCCTAGCTGCTCTCATCTAACTTCTCATTCTTAAAGTGATGATACTTATTTCATAGTTTTGCTCTTCTTCCCATTTTTCATCATCTTGAATAAATTCAACCTTCACAGCGTACCTGGTCTTCCAGAGCATGGACCAGAATAGCTGATGGCCTTAGCTACAATGACCTAATCCACCTCAACCACTTGTCTTCATGGTTATGCCTGACCTTGATATCTCTCAAATTGTCAATTCAAGCATTCTCTTCTCTTTTGACTTGCTTGTTTAGCTGCTCTCCTACAATCAGGCTTTGGTTTCATCAGGACCTCCAGGTCCTGGAATGATCTCCTTTCCTTTTTTCTGTCTCTGTATTCCTTGTTTCAGTAACACCCCCACCCATACCCCAAGCTCTCCTGGTTCTCTCCACTTTATCTGTATCCTGTGGTAGAGCTGCACCGTGAGGTAAACCTTCATGTCTTCTTTGTGCTTATCTGCAGTCAGACAGGGCAAGGTTCAGATCTCTAGTGTTTCCTAAAAGGTTCACATGTGCAAAGGTGGGTGCTTCTGGAAGGTGATGGATTATAGGGTACTGTACTCATCAGGGGATTAATCTGTAGCTGAATGTGCTGTAGGAAGGTGGGGGCCTCTTCTGAAGAGGTGGATCAGTGGAGCCATGGCCTGGAAGGGTACCTCACCCTCCCTTGCTCCTGTCTTCTCTCTCAGCTTCCTGGCCCCCATAACACGAGCCACTCTTCTCTGCCAGACTCTTCCTCCATGACATTTATACCTGAAGGCTGCTGATTCAGGACTATATCCTCTAAAAATTGGGAGCCAAGATAAGTCTGTCCTCATTTGAATTGTAGGTATTGGCTATTTTATCCCAGAAACAAGAATATGAGCAAGACGGACATTCTTGGGCAAATTTACTTCATGAGGCAGATAATTAATTGTAAGTCATTAGCCTTCTCTCTCCTCATGAACCTGGAGCAACTGAAGGAAAACCAAGCATATTTGTTTGGGATTCTCTGCTACTATTTCAAACATTTCCACTGGCCTGATCCCACCAAGCCCCAGCATCCTCTCTTCTAGAAAATCTCATTCCTGTTTATTTCACTGAAAAAAATCAGTCACCCAGGAGAACCCTTCTCAAATGCCTGCTCTGAAGCCTACAAGGCTCCCAGACTCCACTCCTCTAATCTTCTGCAGTGCCCATCCAGGAGAGGGAGCATCTTCACCAAGCTCCCCAGGACCTCTGGTCACCTGTTCTCCTGCATGGTTCTTGGCGCCACGCCCTCTGATCACTCAGTGTCTCTTAACATGAATGGCTTCTGTCCCTCCAAACCAGCTCTTCAGTTAGCTTCAGTGGTACCAGACATTGCCTCTTCTCTGGTAACTCTTGCAACCTCTCCATCCTCTTCCTATAACCCTCAAGGCTCATGCCCAGGTTTTAGTTTTGTTTTGTTTTCTTCTCTACTCTTTCAAATTATAGCTCTACAAATCAGTCAAAGAGCAAACTCATGATCTTCCCCCAGAAATTGGTTATTTTTCCTCTATTCCCTATCTTAGTGAGAATCACCTCAGTTCATTCAATTTACAATCTCTGAAACAAATCTCTCCCTCACTTCTCGTATCCAGTTAATTGCTTCCTAACTAGTTCCCAGTCTGTTCCCCTCTCTTCCTCTCATCTTAATTACATCAGCACCAGACTTGTTCAGTGTGACCTAAGTATCTCCTGGTTCTCTCTAGTCTTTTCTCCCTATAGCAGGAAGTCACATCATGCCAGCCCTCCTACAACAGGTTCCTATTACAATTAATAGGAAACAGAATTGCTTCACAACTATAACATGCCCTGCTTGGTGTGGTTCCTGCCCACCTCCCAGAATTGTTCATCATTTTGTCCTCATACACTGTGCTCCAGACAGACTATAGAGTATTGCTTTTCATTTGGCCACAGGACACATGCACTAATCTTCTTTCTGAATTATTCTTCTATGATCTCCTCTTTTTTCTAAGTTAAAGAAACACATTTCTGAACTATTCCATCTATATCATTCCCACTTTGTTTTCCCCCAGGGAATGGTTCCTGGGCGTGGCCAGCAGGATCCATGTTCTCAAAGAACTGTGTTACTTTCTTTCATGGGTAGTACCTTCGCGACGTGTAACAACATACTCGCTTCTGTGCATTTATCAGTGTAAGTCTTCTTCAGACTGTTAGCTGAAATACTCAGTACATAACTAATAAATAGCTGTTTGAATAGGTGAATCATGATTTTAGCCATCTGTGAAATTTGGATAAGAATGTTACTTTTTTTCTTTTTTTTAATGTATTTAGTACAGGGTCTACAAGGTCTCACTATGTAGATCAGACTCATAGTGATCTTCCTGTTTTCAGCCTCCTAAGGGCTGGGATTACTGGCGTGCACCACCATGCCCAGTCTCAATCGCCATCTTAGTGCACCCTGGAGGAAGGGCCAGCACTGCACACTGGGGATCCATCTACTGGCCCTGTGTCTGCTTAAGCAGGTGCTTTAATTCACTGAGCTATCTGGCCAGCCCTCCATTTCTTTTTATTGAAAGATATACAAAAATAGGACAGCATTTGCTAACACTCTCTACAGAGTCAATAAAGTATTATTGTTGTTATTGTTATAAATTTTACTCTTATAATACAAGACAATCTAATATAAGTTCCTAAATGCTCCGGGCCCTAGTGCACAAATACATTTCTACTAGAACCAACATTAGTATAGAAGCACAAAAGCATTTTACAGTGTTGTTGTCTTATTACAGTTTCAATCACTTCTTAGAATATAACAACTTAGAAGCAAAGCATAGTACAGTTTAGTTCAATTAACTGTCTCAGATTGTCCAAGTATAATTAAGCCAAGAAAAGGCTCATCTGGATTCCTTAAATAGAAATGTATTTTGAAATAAGTGGAGTGGAAGACATAGATTATTTATTTCCATCAGAATGTACTTTTTCTCTTTACTACAGGAAATCAGGGAAATCAAGGCTTCTTAGAGAGAGCCAGAAGCTGCAGGAACCTGCCTCTGTCCGGCTCTGGGTCCCCACTTGCTGTGAGTATTTTGTCCTTGGATATAAAGTTAACAGCCTTTGGGCCTTTGTGCTTTTCTCTGCAGGTTTACAGAGAGCCAGTGCGAGAGCCCCTTCACCATACCGGAGAGACTTTGAGGCCAAGCTCCGCAACTTCTACCGAAAACTAGAAGCCAAAGGATTTGGACAGGGTCCAGGGAAAATTAAGTGAGTGATTCAGTGCCTGGCACTGAACTCAACTTGGAGGCTTTTCTGTCCTGTCATTCTTTACATCTGGATTGTACTTTTTGGAGATTGGATACCCTGGTGTGTGATAGCGCTTACGGTATAAGGGGAGGAAAGCTTTCCTAGCTTCCTAGCTAGGAAATCAGGAGGAAAGAAAAAAAGGAATTTAAGAAATTGGAAGGAAAGGAGAATGGAAGGAGGGTAAAGGAAAACAAAATAATAGACAAAGTCTTATATTGCATCAATAGTAGACTTTTCCAGAAAACAAAGATGCTTAAGCTAAATAAAAAACCTTCTATGTTTCCTTTTACTTATTCTAGGACAAAATTTAACTCTAGTCACATTTATGGACAAGTACTCTGCAGTTGAAGTCCAAGTAGAGAAGAGTTTAAAAATATGTTCCCTCTGGCTTCACTATTTTAATCTTAAAAGTTGAACCATATGCAAGAAATCAACTTGACAGACTACCTAGGGTCCAGGTAGAGGGAGTGTACACTTATAAGGCCAGCATTTTAGGAGGCTGAGGCAGAAGAATACAAGTCCAAGTCAAGGCTGGGCAACTAGAAAATTAATGAGAGCCTGTCTCAAAAAAAAAAAAAAAATAGGGAATGAGGGGGATTGAAGATATAGCTCAGCGTGAAGGCCCTGGGTTCAATCCCCAGTAGTACACAGAAAAAGAAGATATCCTAAGAATTGATCAAAAATCAAAAAGTACCTTAAAGTAGCCCAGTGGAGTGCAAACTATCCAGTACTAAGTGAATCTGTTTTCCTCATTTGCTAACATTTTGAACAGTGCTAAGTCCTGGAAGACTGGGCCTTGCCCTTGCCTCTTTGGCTGGAGAGGCTGTGGAGGGGGACTGAAAAGCAGCTCACGTGCACACACCATCCAGCACACTCACTACAGAGTCACCACTCAACACCGCCTCTCTCCTTCTCAGGCTCATCATTCGCCGGGACCACTTGTTGGAAGGAACTTTTAACCAGGTGATGGCCTATTCCCGCAAGGAGCTCCAAAGGAACAAGCTCTACGTCACCTTTGTTGGAGAGGAGGGGTGAGGCACCAGAAACTTATGCACACCCCACAGTTTGAGCAGACCAAAGCCCCGGGATCAATGCATTTTTATTCAAGAAAGAACAGGTTGTCTATAAGCCTGGGTCTCAAGGTGATTCTGATCATGTCCTCTCCAGGTGTCACCAAGCTTTAGGTGCCACATTCTTCTTCCAAAAATCCTCAATTATTGGCATTCCAGAATCTGACATCACATAAGCAAAGTATAAGCCAAAAGTAGTCTTAAGCCACTGCCTCTTTTCTTTGTAGGTGGTGTTCCCTTCTGAATAACTGATCAAAAAATTCTTTTGAAAGTGTACCTATATAATTACATACTAACTTTTTCAAATACTTTCCATGATTTTGTGGAAATCCCTTAAGTGTAGGGGCCCACCCAGCAGGGGTATCAGAACATACTTGAAGCTTTTCTAGCTCACCCATGTGTATACAGATACACACACACACACACACACACACACACACACACACACACACAGCTACAGGGAATTCTTTCATGCTTCTAACAGCAGAGGCCTTGTTGGTAATGGGCAGTATGTGAGTTTTGTCCTTTATATATTAAAGGATTAGATAAAGACATTAAGGACCACTGCCATGAAAGTTCTGTCATGGACATTTGGTTGACCTTTCAGATGAATAACTGCAACCTCATTTTCCACCATATATTGACACCTCCACTTGGGATTTACTCTAAAAGGCAGAGTCTTCCCCCTCCTTTCCCCAGTGCCCTGCCTCTGGAAGAGCTCACTAGAATCTGAGTAAGAGACTGTCTCTTCACTTCTGGACACAAAATGAGCTTCCTGGACCTGTTCTTCCTTTGTAGCCTGGACTACAGCGGTCCTTCTCGAGAGTTCTTCTTCCTTTTGTCTCAGGAGCTCTTCAACCCATACTACGGACTCTTTGAGTACTCTGCGAATGATACTTACACGGTGCAGATCAGCCCCATGTCAGCATTTGTAGAAAACCATCTTGAATGGTAAGATTAATAATGTTCATTTGCTCTGTGTTTGAGAGTTCTTGTCTTTCTTAGAAGTCAGCAACATTTCTCTAAGGTCTCTGTTTCTAGAGCAGTTAGCTAGATATTATGAGAGGAAATGGCAGTGAATAACAGAAACCTAGAAGGAAACACAGGTTAGTGTTCATCTAGAACACAAGACAAATTACTAAAGACACCAATAATATAGCAATGGCAAACTAATGTACAATAGAATAGTTGCCTCCAGAGAATGTATTAAGAATATAAAGATGTAAGTCATGAGTGTTGATAATTTTATTAAAATCATAAGAGTTCTTAGTGCAGGCTTCTTAGAGGTATATGAGTATGAAATTCTTTCCAATCTTGGACCAATGGGTTTAAAATCAGCTTTTACAGTCTGAAAAAATAAATCTTCTGGGTAAGGTAATCTCCAAGTGCCCTTCCAAAATGAAAATCCAGCATATTGTTGGTTGTCTGCTGTTGAGACTGAGTGCCAGATGTCTGAAGACAGGTAACAGCCAATTCTGTGCAAGCTTGTGGAGGAGATACCTTCCATGTAGGTCCTAGACTCTCTTAAAAGCTGCACAGGGCATCTAGGATGTATGTACAATGCTGCTGCCTCTCCACCATGCATAAGTTGAAAATGACTGCAAGAGTTCCTGCTCTTGAAGGCAAATAAGTCCTGGAGGTGGTTGGTGTAAGTCTTTTCTGACACAGACTATTTATACTACTATTGAAGAACTCACTGGAGTGACACCAGGGCCTGCTGAGTTCAGAGACCAAGTCCCTAAGCGTTGCCAACATAGCATCAAATTATTTATTAGAGCTTCCCAATGACCCCACATGCCCTCTTTCTTCAAGCACACTCGCAGCTCTGAAGCTCCTGAGCTAAGGGAGAGTGTGTCCACATCAAGTGGCTGGCACAAGGTGAAACAAAACTTGCCCTGCGACCCTATAGCTTGTCCTATAACTTGTCAATAACCAGATGTAGAAGACTGTGAGACAGAAACACACATACAGGACAGGTGGGAGAGGAGTCATTTCAGAAGGAATTGATAGCCCTGACTACTGCCTATCAGCTGGGTCCTGCTCAGGCAGACTCCATTCCAACCGCAGAGCACATCCTAACCCATGACACAAGAATATACATATACACAGGTTGTACGTAGTACAATCCCTCAACTCTCCACCATTTCATGAACATGAAATTTAAGACACTATCTTTGAAGTCATGAACTAAGTAATCGAAAAAGAAGCGTGTTAATCAAATCTTTCAGTCCTACCTTATGGGCCTATGCTTGGTGTTTCAAGGCAATGCCACTAATATAGTGACTATAAGATAAGACACAGCAGGTGTTGGGAGTATACAGAAACAGAATAAATAGCGTCCCTAGCCTTAAGAAGGAGCAATGGGAGGAGCACAAACCAGCAATTACAATATCTTAAATGGTGAGTTACATACACATAGACATAGGTGTGTGTTAGCCTGAGATGCATATATTGTGCATGTGCTTATCAGCTTACAGTGAGGATATATTCCAATAAATCCATCACAAATAGAATATGTTATAAGTAAAAAATGCATTCACTGCATCTAATGTACTGAGCATCATAGCTCAGCAACACAAGATGTTGTAGAGTATTGCTTGCTTACATACAGAATCATGTGGATGACTGGGAGCTACGCTCTACCCAACATGGAAAGAGATTTTTACTGCTTACTAGTAGTCCAGGAAAAGACCCAAATTCAGAGTATGACTTCTACTGAATGCATGTCACTTTTGCACTGTCATCAAGCCAGAAAAATCACAAGTCAAGCAACCATGAAATGGGGAACATCTGCGTACACTGAATTGTATTCCATTACAAAAGAAAGCCTCTCTTTCTGCCCAAATAGAGCATGGAGTGAAATCTGTGAACCTTACAGAAAGAGGATTGTGGGAGGGAAATGAACTAGCAGACAGTGGTGGGAATCAGAAAGCTGAGCGAACACTATTAAAATGACACCTGTATTTTTAAACAGTGAATCTTGTCAGAGCCTGAAGAGTAAGTTTCAGGCAGTAAGACTAAAATAAGCAAAGCAGCTTTGAAACACTTGATCTGCCAATGGGAGGAAGAGATGGGCAGTGCTTAGGCAGAGTTTGCACCAACAGGAGAAAGGGATCGCCTCCAGGGAGAGGGCATGGAGATGGGCTGGAAGGAGATAGGGAAATATGGGATAAACTCACATTGAGGGCTTTGGGCTGCACAATTGATATTAACTGTGGAAAGAATTATGCAAAGTAGGAGATATTCAGAGGAAAAGGGTGGGTTGGATGCGGCTGACGACCTCAAGGGAGTAAGTGTTCAAAGGACAGGCAGGCAAAGGAACTGCAGAGTGACCAAGGAGTAGGAATAACTGCCATGGCAGAGGCCTGGGACTTGGTGTGGTGAAAGAAGCCTTGGAATTGAGGATATGTCAGGGTGGCCACATGTGGAGGCCTAAGAGAAAGCACAGAAGACACAGAGGAGTCACAAGAGTGGCCCCACCAGCCACTCAGCCCCTCATACTGCAGCTGGCTTTGTCACCTTCCCCTCATCCCTGCAGTAAGAAGCTCTGAGGAAATGATAGTTATGCTTTGCTGCACCGAATAAGGAAACTGTGTGAGTCGGAGATATTGTAAGAATTAGTGTTTTCCCTCCAGGGAGCTTCTACCAACTTGGAAGTCCTCCATTGCTCAAGGACTTGGCCTCACACTCGGGCAGGCTGACTCCTGCGTACCAACAGGCCCGCTCCTGTTGCGAGTATTTACTGTAGAGCCCAGAGTCAGAGCTGCAAGTGGCTTTCTGAATCCACCAGCAATCTAAGTGGAGCTCAGGGAGATTGCTGACATCTTTTCAGCACTGCTCATCGGTGTAGTTGTCCTGAAGTGGGCCACACGGGGCTGCCTCTCTCGTTCATAGTGCTGACCCCAAGCACAGGATTCCCCAGAGTCCTTGGCTGCAGGAGAGGACTCTGCAGATCTCCTTGGTGAAATTATCAGAGTGCGTCATGAACTCCAGGTGGAGCAGGACTGCTCTGTCGGTGCCTCTGAGTGCCTGGAAAGAAAAAATAGGAACTCTCTGTAGTCACGGTGTCTTAGTTGCCTTTTCTTGTTGCAGAGACAAAACACCCGACACTCAAGGTTAAAGGAGGGAAGGTTTATTTAGCTCACGGCTTGTAGAGGTTCCAGCCCACTACCAGCTGGCTCCAAGGTAGGGTGGCTTGGCCGAGCATCATCACAGAGAATAGTGCATGGCGCCCATAAGACAGCCAAAGTGACACAGGGCAGGGGAGAGAGCCTCTTTCTGTCTCTTGCATCCAATCTACCGAGATTAGGACACTGCCAGTCCAATCAGTAGATTGATCCAATAATCACCCACCCTTATCCTAGCATTGAACTGTGAATCAGTCACACACTCTGGATTCAGCCACCTCTGAAAAGCCCCATCTACAACAGTAGGAGGTTTTGGGGATACAACTAGACACAAATCATAACACACAGCCAGACTCAATGACTTGAACCACTTCACAGACTTTTCCTTCTTTGATTTTGAACAGTGTCTTAGTCACTTTCCCATCACTGGGACCCAAGACCGAATCCCTACAATGTAGAGGAGGTGAGGGTTATTTTGCCTCAAGGTTTCAGTCCAGGGCTGGCTGGCTACAAAGCAGAAACAGCATGGCAGAAAGGTGCTCTGCCCATGGCAGCCAGGAGGCTGAGACAGAAGGGAGGAGCCGGGGCAAGAGCTCTCCCCTCCAGGTCACACCCCAGTGACAGCCTCCCACCGGGCCCCAGTCCTAGCAGCACACTCAGCTCTGACTGCTCACCCATGGATAAATACACTGATGCGGATAGCTCTCCTGTAATCTAATCATTGTCCACACACATGAGGATTTGGGGGGACACATAACAAACATAACAAACAGGAAGTCCATGTTAGGCTTTGGGGATTTTTAACAAACCCAAGTGAATGGAGTTTCTCCATTTACTTTCCTGCTGTAAGTCATCCTGTGCCAAATGAATTAACCAGAAACTTACAGGGGTGGCATGTCCTGTGTCCCCAGGTATTTGGAGACAATGTCCTGCATTTGAGTGAAAAGTGGGTGACTTGGATAGCTCAGATCTGAACAAAGTAGCTGTAGGTCTAGCACAACAGCAGGATGCACACAGTGCCAGGAAATAATGCCGCTAGCAAGTGGGTGCCGCTGCACCTGCCAGAAGACCTGTCACTGTCACTCATGCTGCCAGGAAGTCCGTGATGCTGAGAAGCCCAGAATCCCGAGACCAAATCTGATTGCCCAGGACTCATTGCCACTAGGCACCTCTTATCATCCAGTAGGATGGACGTGGTTGCCACCCTCCCTTCCTTCCTCACTCTACAGGCATTTGTCACATGGGCCATGAGGAAGATGATAACAATCATAACCTGTCCATCACTCATACGAAAACACAAAGGCCCAGAATTATAGGGTTTATCATAGGACAGCCCTTAGTGGGTAAAGTTGGAGATTGTCCCTTGATGTAGGACAAGATGTGGGGCATGGAGGTTGGCATCATCCCCTGCTCAACTCCTCTTCCTTCTGGAAACAAATAAACATGACCAGAGACCAGAAATGAATTGCCAAAAATGAGTAAGCTTCAGAGGATTAAGCAGCCATCTTAATAGGGATAATGGTCCTCTTAATCTGCTATTTTTGTTATTCTGTTATTCTGCTTCTTCTGTGTCCCACGCTGTTGTTTGCTTTGTCTGACTCACCTTGGGAAAGATAAGCCCCATGTGAGTGGAGATGGTCTTAGTTTCCTCTTAGTCTCCTCTTGCACAACTATGGGCACTTAGGTGTTTCACAGACTACTGGGCACGTAAATGAGTTTTATTCTTCAAGTGACAACAGTATCTTCCTTGTCCTGGGGCTGTGAAGATAAACAGGGATCCTTCCTCCATGGAGCATTTAATTACCACAGGTTCACATTCCTCTT